ATAAATAAATAAATAAATAAATAAATAAATAAATAAATAAATAAATAAATAAATAGAAATAAATAAAAAAATAAAAAAATAAATGAATGAATGACTAAATAAATAAATAAATGTATATATATAAATATATATACATATAAAAACAAACAAATAAATAAATAAATAAATAAATGAATGAATAAATAAATATTAAATAAATAAATAAATGAATAAACGAATAAATGAATAAATGAATAAATGAATATATGAATTATATGAATAAATGAATAAATGAATAAATGAATAAATGAATAAATGAATAAATGAATAAATGAATAAATGAATAAATAAATAAATAAATGAACTAATAAATAAACAAATGAATAAATAAACAAATAAATATTCGTATGGTGCTTATGATACTACTTATTTTCCCATCTTCTCATATGAGAGCACTTCAGTAACGGTATGGCTATTGTGGCGTATGACTTCTTCGATTTCGACGTTTCTTGTAGAGATGTATCGATGAACAATATGAAGTATGTCCTTCATTATGTTCTGTTGTCTACGAAATAGATTGCGCTTGTGTCATTCTGGAAGGCGGCGACAAGTAGATTTGAGATGTGAATAAATGGAGAAGTAGAAAAGGACAAAGTCATGTCTTGTCGAGTGCTTGACAACGGTTGCTGTCTTACCGAGAAGTATTTTTGCCTGAGGCTCAATGCATCGGCGGCTGTCGCCCACGGGTCCCGGTTTCCCGGTGCGGCCCATCAGTCCCGGCAGGCCCTGGTCCCCTTTGACGCCGGGCACGTCGACTCCGGTGTCGCCCGGATCCCCCGGAGGCCCTTTCAGGCCGGCAGCGCCCGGTCCGCCCTGGAGTCCACTGTCGCCAGGAGGACCCTGTGTCCGAGTGCATGGCCGCAGCGGAAGAAGGCCAAACGAACGAGATCGAGAGTGGCGAGTGTTTGGGCAAAAGAGATGGGAGTAAAGGAGCTGTCGGCTGCGAAATTAGAGAGAGAGAGAGAC